CAGCAACTATCATATCTGATCACATAACCTCTGGACTAAAGCAGTATGTCAGCAAATATTTCTGATTATTTAAAATATTAAATAAGTATAATTTACTAGGCGGGTCTTCCTCAGAACAATCACAAAAAATTTCAAGAATTGATATCCACATACAAAAAGCATTTAGATGGCCTGTTACAAGTCTCTGAAGAATAATAATAATAAAAAAATCACCTCTCTCTGTAATAAAGCCCAGTTTAAATACATTCTGGGATATACCAGTGGTGGAGGAGCTGCCTTTCTATGAGACTTGGCTTACAAGGAAAACTGTAGCAGCCAAGGACAGATAGGGTAGGAATCACTTTGCCTAACTTTAACTATATAGATATTAGATGCCTAATTTCAGCTAATCATCTGGCTTCCCTCTACATCTAATGGAGATAAGCATTCCCAGAGGGAGAATCATCCTGCTTTTTTTAAGGCATCTCTCTTCTAGATGCTTGCAGATGAATAAAGTCAAGAAATATGAGTCTCACTGACAGCCTGATAATCCATCATTAGCAATGCACAGTGTCCAAGTTCTTTGAAATAAAGCCAGAATTGATTTTTTTTTTTAATCATTTAGCCTTTCATTCTCTCTGTGACCCAACTTTTTCTTCAGTTCTTCCCATGAACATCAACTTTCTCTGGCACTTTTTTTTTCTTACTCTGGACTGTGTTTTCTGAAACCCGGGGAACTGCAACTGATGTCAATATTTTGCTGCTCTACCAGTTACAAATCCATTTACATGCATGTGCTCTAAATTGCAGTAATGATCTGAATGTGTAGATAAGTTATCTGATTGATTGCGGCTGATCGCGATTGTGCTTTCTGGGTCTACACTACCACTTTCAAATGTGTAAAAATCTGTGGCAACATTAAGGCAGTCAAGGTATATAGATGAATGCTAAAATATATTTACTATTCAAAGAAGATGGCTTAAATCAAACCAGGAAAATTAAGGAAGAAATATCATTAGGGCCCTCACTTGTACATGCGTGAGCCCAAATCACCACACATGCTTCAAGGCCTCTGCGCTTCAGAATGTTGAACAAGTCCTAAAGGTGAAGCCTGGCCTCAATTCTTTTGCATTTAGGGTTTGTAGGTTCTCAGCAATACCAGCATTGCTGCATCGCGCCTTTGATGACCAAGCCCTTAGAAACAGTAGCCGAGATTTATAAGGAAGCAGGTGTCTGAACTGAAAGACTCCTAAATTCCTAGCTGGGTGCCTAAAGCAGCAACAAGACTGTCAAGCACCTTGCCCAGCTGCCCACAGATGCTCACTCCAGTAGTGAGGCACTTAGCATTTGTTATAACACAAAATGGATGTTTATCAATTTTGTATTTTTAAATTGTGTTCCAACAGCTACTTTAAGTGGCTTGGCCAAGTGCTTCCGTGCACTAATTCCAATATTGGGCGTGCAGTCTACTCTGCATCTTACTTCTACAGATTTTTTTAGAAAATTAATTTTAATAGTTAAAAAACCAGCTTGAGCTGCATATGTGAAAATAACTCCGTTACTACTGAATGACAATCTAATACGAAATAAGAATAGTCACCATTTTTTCTTACTCTGCCCAAATCCAGGCAATAAATTAGGCTTCTCAGCATGACTGTAAAGTGCTGTGAATTGTATAAACAATCATATATGGACACTGAAAAATAACCCTTATGCACATTGCATTATAGTTCCAAAAATATATTTACAGTCTATTACAAAGATTACAAATGGAAGTAAGTGTCTATGTATCGGGATTATGATAGTTAAAAGCTTTTTACAGATTTTCTTCAACAAAGGTGGGTGGGGACAAAAAATTGGTATAACCAAACTGATTTTTCTAGTGAAACAAATAAATAAAATGACAAATATAACACTGTACAGTGATCTAAAAAGAGGGAGAAAAAAGGAGGGGGGGGGGGAAATGGATGCATTTAAGTTTTTAATAACTATCTTTGGTCCTAAATGTGGGAAAACACATTATGTAGCACTGAATATACATGTTTGTTTGTGATGCTCTGCAAGTAAAATAGAAAAATATAGTGCATTTTCAATGTATTCAGAGCTCACTACACATAAATGTGTGTACAAAACAAGACAGTATAAATAAAATTTACAAGTTTTACAAAGGAACATTTACAAGGTTTTTCTTTTGTTTTTTATTTTTTTTGTGTGGATGCCCACATTATCAAACCAGACCAATTCATGACTGATCCCTGGGATCTTTCTCTATCAAAATCAATAGAAGCAGCCCAATTCTCTTTGGAAGTACAGCATTTCATTGCTGGGGTAGTTCACAACTTTCAGATTTTTTGTTTTAAAGCATTTCTCTCTGGTTCATGTACATTATTACAATATCTGTAAAGACTGTTCATTATTGCTTATGGTAATTAAATATTTTAATCAAAAAAATTTATATATAAGTAAATGGTGTAAAAAGATATTCCATTGAGCAACTACCTTTGCATCTCTGTTCCTGATGAATGACTGTTGTGTCTGTGTGACCACACACACGCATGTTCGTTCAGAGCAGCAAAAGCTTGTAAAAAAACTTGAAAATTCTGAACTGCCCCTTGTCTCATGCTCTACAGTTCACATATAAAAGCTATGTCCTTATTCTGACAGCTGGACTGCATACGGCTTAAACTCATAGAAAATATACACCAGCTATTTCTCTTAGATTTGCTAATGCAGAGTACTGAAAAAAACCATGATGTGCTCAGATTAAGTGGTTTAGGTAACACTGAAGAACTGTACCTATACTCTGAGACACTCCTACAATCACTTGTCCATTCAATGTTGTGTCTCAGCAGTTTTACAGTTGTAGATCTACATCTTAGACTATATCTCAGTTTAACTCTAGTCCATTAAAATCATCTTGCAAACAATTTGCTAAAAGTGCCTAGAACTACTTAGGGGTCATTATTGCTTTTCTTTTTCTTACTTTTTTTTTCTCTTTTATTTTCTTTTAAAAGATAGCATATGTATAACCTTAAAAAATTCTTTAAAAAATATCAGAGCTCTTGGCAACTTGCATCTTCCTGATTCCCTGTCAATTAGCTAGCCATGTCAATACGGTGTTGATTTAACAAAAGGAAATGGCACAAAGGGATACCAAAATTCAGATAGATTATACATTGCTTGGTCATGCTTCTTAAATCTCTAGGAACTCAAATAATCCTTCAGAGGTGCCCAGTGTAGTAATGTGTCATTGAATTAGCACTAAAAAGGTCCAAAGATATAAACATCATACTAAAAGAAAGTCTTTATGAAGAATAAACACAAATGATTAAAAAAAGATTCAGAAATCACAGATTTAAGGAAAATATTTTGTTGAATTCAACAATAATATCATGATTTTATCTGACAAATATATTCTTTTTTAAATTTTTATGTACATTTAAAAAGTCTATTAGATAAAAAGGAGGTTAGAGAGCTCAAGGTGTTTGTATGTTTATTCAGGTAGTACTTTGTTTATTGTCACTGCTGTTTTCCTTGCCACCACTGGTGGATCCTAATTCCCTTTTCATAAATTCTGGTGGCACTTAGGAGTTCAAGTCTGTAGGTGCTTCTTGTAGCTCTTCTATTCACTGCAGGAAGGACCCAGGAAATCAAGTGTCTTCTAGCAGCACTTCATATATACTGAAGGCCAGTGCTGTTCTCTCAGTCTGTCACCTCCCTCATAAGGGAGAAATGTCTATCACACTTGGATGCCAGTGCCGTGTAAATGTAGCATTTGTGCTCTCATAGTCTGAATGCTGCTCATGATTTTCTTTTGATGACCAACCAACGTGATCCCTAAACTCATCACATCCCTGGGGAAGATAAATGCGTACATTGTTAATTTTTCAACTTAGACTGCTATTGTATGGTATTCAACCGTGAGTCAAAGCTACGCAGTGGTTTGGACTACAGGGTTCTGACATGGAAGCTACGCCGTAACCTCAGCTCAGTACTGGGAAGTTCATACAGGCACTGTTCAACCTCTCAGAAATGAGTGCAATTACATGACAGCTGTCATGCAATTACACTTGTGGGTCTCCACATCTGAGAAGGAGGTCAGTATGTTTTACATTATGATTATCTCGTAGTGTGTCTTTTAAGGACACCCGAAGACAAGGACACTTCTCTTGTAAAATACTTCGGGTGGCTTTCAGGAGCAAGTTATGTACAAATACAAGATTTTGGGGATCATAGTCTGTTTCCTAAAGAGATGCCTAGATGCCTTTGCATATTGACACATACCCATCATGCAAATGAATGAGGAACAGCAGTTTCAGCTCTGCCCCTACTAATGCTAGAAGCTTGTGGACTCTGATGACAGTTCCCAAGCTATAGGCTGAAACCCCTGGTGACACCAGGCAGATAAGAATAGGGTTGAAATCTTGAGAATATTGGCTTAGAAACTTTTTTAGAAACCCACTGCTCTCTAAGAGGAACTACATGTGTTCAGCAAGCACCAGGACAAAAAAGTTGTTTGCAGGGTGCCAAGAAGACCTGTTTTAAGATGACAGTACTGATACAGGCCATGTCTGCCTTCAGAAAATTGTTTTGCTTCTACAGACTTATCCTGATGCAAAGTCCTGTCCTGCAGGACACAGACAGCCCTCAGCCAATTAGAAGAAAATTCCACATCTTCCCAGAGCACATTGGGAAAAAGGTACCAATTAGGTGGTGGAGGCAAAGTGGTTGTTTTGCTATACATACTTTGGAAGGGGTCATGTTCTCCCTCAAATTCTAGTCCCTTCACGTTATTTCAATTGGTCTGAAAAGCAGGGAAAAAAGTGATGCCACACAGAGGTAGCAGGGTATTTGCCCTTTCATGAGATGCTTTAATACAACATCATCAGCTGCTAAAATGGCTGGCTTGACCCCAAGTACAATGTTTGTACTCAAGAGTAAAGTTTTGGAGTTGAACATTGTGTAGTATTGTACCTAGAAATTCCCTAAATGCAAGTGAAACATGCCCAGTACTAACTTACTCAATAGTCATCCTGGCAACTGATTCAAGAGAGTTGTAGCCTGCTGCTGTGAAATTATCCTTATATCTTTCCATCTTAATAGCTTGTAACCATTCGCCTACGGAGCAGAAAGTGGTAAAATCGGGAGTGTTCTGGTCCAGAAGAGGGCTAATTGGTCTATGGAGAAGGAAAAAGGAAAGTAAGTTGTTTCCAAAGAGAGTAAAACATCAGGGAGTATTTAGCAAGGTGAGAGTCAAATAAGTTTTGGGTATTAAAAATGTCAAGAGTAGAAAGTAATAGGCCTTTATACACAGTTTAGATTATTCTGTGAATAGCTCTTGACTGCTCTGTAGCTCACAATATGTACTTCCTAAGCTTATTCACATAAAAGATGAAAGGTCAGAGTGAGCAAAATCAGCCTAATGGACTAATGTTACCAATATAAAATCAACCTTATTACCTAGCATGACAGCAGCTGTCTCTATGTTGCTGAGTAAAATAAAGATGCTATTCTTTTAGGCATCTTAGAAAACATAGTAGTAGCTACTCCCATTTTTAAATTGGATGGGACAAAACAAAGACAAGGGAAGAGCAGAGACACAAAGTCTTAAGGTCACACAGCAAATCAGTCAGTAGAAGAATCAGGAGCAGAACACAGGCCAGTTGATTCCCTAGTACAGTGGTCTACCTAGCAGATCAAAAGATTACCATGATTAAATAATTCACCTGAAATTTATGAAGAAGCCATTAAAAACTGCATCATGAAATACAATGAGATGCAATCACTGAAAGGAGTTAAAGGCAGAAAATGAAAGATAAAATCTAGAGTGTAGCATGTCAAGGTACATTGGCCAAGCATGAGTATTGTTAATTACTATTTCTACTGTAGCAGTTCCTCGGGCAAGGGATGCATCATATAAACATACAATAGGCAATGATCCTTGCCCTCCAGACTTTATGATTTTAAGAAACAAGGAAAACACAGACTAGTGGTGAGAGTGCAGAAAGAGTGATGAGCAGGCAGTAGTTTACTGAGAAATGTGTTAGTTCTGCGATATTTACTTCATTTTGGTAGTTTTTTTTTCCAAGGAAGTCTGTTTTTGGCTTTGTTTAACATGGTATATAGAAGGGCAAATGAGGGAAGAGAAGAACAGGGAACAGAAAGAAGGAAGAACTGAAAGACAGATGAAATAAGTGTGAACTGGAACCAGCCACCAAGCAGAACATCCAGAGCCCAGCCATGTGCACCATCATAAGAACACACACTAAAGCTTTTCTTACCTGCTACAGGTTCCCAGTGGGGTTTTCAAGCTGTTTGGATTTCTAATCATTTTGTCCAGAATGCCAACTATCTGTTCAAACTTTGGCCTTTCACCGCGTTCCTTCTGCCAACAATCCAGCATCAGCTGGTGCAGTCCTGCTGGGCAATCCATGGGCGCTGGCAAACGATAGCCTTCTTCAATTGCTTTTATAACCTAGTAGCCAAAATAGTTAATCGTTTTTCATCAACAGTAATTTAAAGAATATGTGTTGCTACCCAGTTCAAACATCTAAGAAAAAATAAAATAAAGTAAAATAAAATAAAATAAGAATAAACTAAAATTTGCCATTGGTTTTGCAGAAATGCGACTCTGTTGTTTTGACACTAGCCTTCAGGTTTTCAAATAATTTTCCCAGCTTCATTTTTGGGCTTATTAAGAATATTGTTCTATATGTGCAGAACATCGATATATTACCTAGACAAGTGAGTAGCACGAAACAACAATTAAATTCACAGAGGAAGAAGCAGATAGATTGATAAATTGAGTTATTTCAGAAAGCATTATTACTAGCCCCAAGGTTTTTATGAAAGAGTGTGTGGTAGAAGCAACTGACTTTTAAATGGATGGATATCTTTGCATGCACATATAAAATACAAGAAGCCTGAAGGTATTATAAAAATATCCAAGAAAAATGTTTAGCAGATAGAAAGTGCTAGGAAAAAAAGTTATATTTTATGTCTAGCCATGTTATATTAATGATAAAGCAGCATAACTATGTCGTGTGAGAGAGAAAGACCTGGGTAAATGCTATTTTAATATATCACAGAAAGTTAGATTTAATAAGAGATGCTGCTAGATGATGATATGATCAAAGGACAGCATAAATGTCTGAACCAAGAATTACACCCACCCGTTGACTTCCTTAGCCAAGTCCATTTGGATTTAAGTAAAAAATAAAAATGGATAAAGTAAAATCACAGCAAACTGCTGTAAACCTTGAGGGCAGAATAAAAAAGCACATCAGGAAGCAAGGCAGATAAGAAAAGCTAGTGAAAAAGGGCTAAAACACTGTTCATGGGGGATTTCAAGTATACTGACATTGACTGACACAGCAGCATTAGAATTGCTAAGGAAGGGTGCTTGCTCCTGAAGGGGAGTGCATAGGACTGCCTTCTCCCTCATTTTGTATAGAAAGCAAGATCAGAAGCTCTTCTAGATGTAGTTCTGGGATGTAGATCTAGTATGTTAAACAAAGTTGGTGAATATCCAGGTTTTAGTAAAAATAATTACCTTATAAAGAAAATATTCTGTAGGTTGTGTGAGAAAACACAGAAGTAATGGGCTGTAAAGCAGACAGAACTGCAGACAATACAGAATGACCTTCAAAACGCTGGCTGAAATCCAGCCAGGTTTTGTATCAAAACCTTTTGCATAAAAGAAATTTTATGAAAAGAGAAGGCATAGCCCAGTGGTAAGGCAGTGACTGCAGTTCTGTGTCACAGAATGTCCTTCTGACCTCAGGGAAGTTGCCTCATCTCCCTAGGCCTCAGCTTTCTCTCTGAACATTTAGAATGACAGTACTGTCCTACAGCTCAAAAATGACTGAGAAATATTCAATTCCTGCAGAAACATCCACACCTTGAAGAATGAGTGCAGTGACCTTTTACAAATGTTGAAGTTGTCTGTCAGAGAGGGTGTGGAGAGAGGTTTTCTGCAGAAGAACAGGGAAATTGGAAGAACAGAGCTATACAGTAAAGAAAACATTAAAAGTAAAATCTAAGATCCTTTAGAGCTATATTAAGAGAAAAAGAAAAGAACAGCTCCTTATGCTTAGAAGTAGTAGTGGAATGAAAGTGAAAAATGATCTACAGTGTGTACAGGACAATTGCTGTGCTGTGAAAATTAATGCAGAAATTTCTGGCCCTCTAAATGGCAAAAGGTATTAAACACTTTGAGCATGCTACATGTGATTTATTACAAATGAAGTAGTTGCTTAAGAGGTCACAAAACACAGATCACCAATGAGAAATTAAAAAGTAGGTGCCAGCAGCAACCATGCGACCACCAAAATATCTAATACCCTTTGACCTGGCAAACTATTTACATAAGACTCTATCCAAGAATGTAAGGGAGAGTGAAAGCATGAATGAAGGGATCAGAACAGGATTGTTCCCTATTAACTACAAATTGCATGGAAACCTGAAGAGAAGTGGGAATCAAGATGATGTTTTTGAAGCTTTGGTGATACTTCAGACTCAGATTCCTGATGTGTATTCTGAGCTAGAAGGGTGAAACCAGGTATGAAATAATGAGTCAGCTAGAGATGAATAGAATTGCTATGAATGTCCAAAACATTGAAAAAATATTCTAAAATATTGATAAGTAAAGTACGACAACTGTCCACTCTGCTAAGAAAGGAGGAATGGGGGTCAAAACATCAGTACTCAAAGAAAATTAAATAGATTATATTTTTTTTTAATAAGCAAACCTACAAAGAGAAAACAGCTGGAGTTCTCATTAATAGAATTGATTTATATTATCCACACTTCGCACAATTTGTTTTTGAAATTCTGCTTTTGCTGCAAAAAGAGTAAAAGGGAATACTCTTAAGACTATGCTTTTACCATAAGCAGGCGATCTGAGGATTTAAAGCAATATAGAAGAGGACTGGGTCTTGTTACATTATATACTAGATGCCAACAATGAAGTATTAAATATGGGTAACTGGACAATGTAATGTTGTAACTATGACTGTGGTCATACAACATTAATACAGGTTAATGATTATAATAATGGTAAGAAATCCAGAAGTATAACATTGCCCTTTTCTGAAGAACTAATGTGCACTGAGGTCAGAAACAAAATGGGAGCAAGAACATCAGCAGTCTAATAGGGGAATGGGGGTTTGAGGGCTACTGTTACTAGCAAGGATTAAGCTGAGGTGAGCCCACTGCTCAGGGAAGTTGGGACCTCTGTCTATCATCTGTGCTCAGTCTGCTGTGCCTCTGCAGGGACTTTGTAGGATGAGAGTTCTTTTGGTGCACCCTAGCCCCAGATCATTGCTAAAAGGAAGGTTTTGCTTGAAAAGAGTTCACAATACAAATATGTATCCTCCATCAGTCTAAAGCAATGACTTAAAGGAGGAAGGGGAGGATTAAATAAAGGCTATCTAAAGATCCAAAGTCAGGGAGGCCTGTTATTTACGAGATCTGCTCTATGACTACACACACATCCACTTTTAGGCAAAATGTCACACCTAAAATATAAAGCTAAGTGCAAAATTAGAAGAACACATTTGGAATTTTTCATTACCGTTAAATACTCCAACTAGAGACTTTGAAGGAGAATAAATAACAAATCATTAGATGACTCTAAATTTTTGCATCCTCAAATATCTAGGGATTGGTAGGATGTGTATATGGTATGGGAGAACACATGCCTAAAGATCACAACATACAAGAATATTTGGAATTATTTCACCAAGCAAATGATGCATCTTTTAACTATGTGGTATTGAAGATTATAATGAAAGATGCTAAAAAGGGATAAAACTGTAAAAAGTGGCAAGTAGCTATTTTTTGAAAGAGACTCACTTGTGCTTTACATGAAGTTTTCAATAGAAGGAATACTTTTCAAAATCTAATAAGAGCATAAAGATATCAAAATTTCTCCTCTATTTAAATTTTTTTTCCTTATTGTTCCCTGTAAGATAGGTAAGGTTTGCCTTTGAGGCATCTTATATTCCTGTCAGACTTCTTTTATGTTTGAATCTAGTACAGAAGGAAGGTGTCAAAAGAAATGAAACTCTACTGGGTGTCTGGGGAATGTAAATATTTCTTTTTCTCTGCCCCAAGGACTTGTTTGCCCATATTTTGACAGTCCATGAAATCTTTGACACTGAGACCTGTCAAATATTAACAACTTTGCACTGTGCCAAACTGACTCATCATCTACACTTTTATCTTTTTTTTCAACTTTGATGTTGATCATTCAATCAAAAATTAAAATAACAATTAAAAAAACCACTCAAGCTCCCACCTGAAGAACTTTAAATGAGACTCTTTCTGACATCTTTGACACCTGTATGGCTTTTTCCTGTGTAATTTCTATATTAATAGATACTCCTGTCAGAAGTCAAGATTAACACCCATCTGTTCTATTACTGATGACCTGTTGCTCTGGATCATATTTTATGCTAACAAGGGTACTTTTAAATCAGCATAATTAATCTGAAAAAGCCAAAGTAGGTCATTAGCTGCCACTCAGACTTTTAACAACTTTTTTCAAATGATTAATCATTGCTCTAAGGTCAAAAACCTCAGAATTATTTTTTATTGAAAAAAAATTAAATTAAAAAATTAATTCTTTCCATTAAGCGCAGTAAAGCGAAGACCCCATATTACTATTTTTGATGTTCCAGTTTTAATTGATACTTAGGACAGAAACCTACAATATCCATGTGGCAAAAAAAAAGGATTTTGACTTTGGTAAAAAGTGATAGCTCTGTAACTTTTTAATTTTGTGACAACCACACAGTACTTAGATAAGTCTTATTTCTAAACCAATATTTTAAGCACTTATAGTGAAATACATATGTATGTGTATACAAGATGTAATTTATGTTTTACTAACACACACACAGAGTCACAAACAGACAAACCTACATCTTGATTTGACATGTCCCAGTAAGGCCGTTCTCCATAAGACATTACTTCCCACATAACTATTCCGTAACTCCACACATCACTGGCTGAGGTAAATTTGCGGTACTGAATGGCCTCTGGAGCTGTCCATCTCACTGGAATTTTTCCACCCTATGAACAAAAAAGAAAAAAAAAAGAAATTTCTCTTTCTCACCCATGGGATTTTTATGTCATCTTCCATATAATGAGTTTACAATTATTTTCATCAACATCAAGAGAAGCACTTACATGATGTGCTATGGTGGACCAATTTCAGAATTTTCAAAGGTGTCTTAGGAAACTTAGTATCTTAAAACACTTGGAACATAGATACTTAGATACTTATAAAACATATGTTGATGAATTTCTGTGGAAGTGGTTATCCCTCCACTGATTTTAAAGCACTGCTTAGATGTCTGATTTACACTAGCCATTTAATTCCTGGCTGTCTGAAGCTAGGTGAGGGGAATCCCAACCTGTCCATATAAATCCCACTGACTTGTCATATTGCTCCTCCGAAATCTTGGTCTGACATTTTTAAACCCGGTTCCCACTTAGACCCCAACGGCAGGAGTGACAGCTGTGAATGCCGGTGTGGTTTCCTGGATCCCTGTGCCTGTCGGAGCAGATTCCAGGGGCCCCTCCTTCCCTCAGCATGGGAAAACAGGTACAGGGAGGCCCCATGGGTGGGAAAGTGGAGCTAGCTCAACAAAAGAATAAAGAGCACAGTGTGCCTGATGAATGCATATTTAAGAAAAGCGTCCCACCCAAAAGCAAGGGAAAATATAGGAGTTGAGCTTTGTCACAGACTAGCCTCCAGCTAGTCAACCCTTTGGTGAGATAAAATCTAGCCTCTAAAATAGTAACAGCTTACAAATATTTTAATTGACTCATAGTAAATTAGACATTTAAAATTTTTATGGATAAAACTTCCTTATTTGTTCAATCAGAAAATCATGAGAAATGGAGTAAAGAAGATACCACACAAAATATTTAGAACTTTGTCAAATAAAAATGTATATTCTTACAAAAATATTATCTCCTAATTAGAGACAGGTTTCTGCACAGACTCTTCCTTTTGACTGGCTAAACCCCCCATCAATTAATGTATTTGTCTTATCTATACCCTCCAGAAGATACACTTCTTCTAAATAACCATATCTCAAAACTATTAAAACCCCTTGGTTTATCTTACGGTTGTAGTGTAGACAGCCTCTGGATCATCTTCTATAACTCTGGAAAGGCCAAAGTCTGATACTTTACAAACAAGGTTGCTGTTGACAAGAATATTGCGTGCTGCAAGATCCCTGTGTACATATCCCATATCGGCCAAATATCTCATTCCAGCAGCAATTCCTCTCAACATCCCCACTAGCTGAATGACAGTAAATTGCCCATCATGTTTCTGGAGGGAAGAAAGGAGCAGCAATTCTTGTTAGTATAGCTGAGAAGAGAAACAAGAATTAGTTTTATGACTTTAGTTTTCTACTTATTTACTCCTTCTGTGGCAAAGAAACTCACCTCAAGCACACTTTCTTCTGAGATAAAGCAGTGCATCCAGTTAAGAAATGTGTGAGTAATTAAAGTACTAATAGTAACAATACTTGCTAACCACTGTGTCTTTCTCCCTAACTAAAGGCAAGTCACTTCCAGGAGAGATCAGCTAATGAAGATTTGCTAATGTTATAGCTTGCTTCTACGATGTTCATCTCTCAGAATAATTATTGTATCAAGAAAACAAGAACTATCTCATTTTTGTAACCCTAGCTACTGATAACTTTCATTCACAGCTTGCAGTTTATTAAAAAAAAAAATCTGTTTTCTATAGAGTGTTTACATATCATCTTATACTGATATGCATGCCTGGAAAGGAGTCAGAACTGGTGAGTTCAGAACATACTTAAAAACCACTAAATTGTTCTGAATTCACATTTATGTTTTCTTTGTTTGTCTCTTAAACAGAATCATAATTCATTTAGGGATTCTTTAATGCTAATTTCCATCATGCTGACACAGTAAAATTCTGCTCCCAAAAGGCCGAAGATTGGACTTCAGGTATCAGTGGTTTTAATTTCAACTGGTGGCTATAATAAACTCCACTATGTCTATGCCACTCTAAATCACAAATTCCAGAATGTCCCCACATGAATCTGTCTTATCTTCTCATTCCTGATCTGGTTTTTCTGAAACAACATAGAGAACTTGCTACTATTTGTCAAAACTCCATTTCAACCTGAAAAACATTTTAATTATACTTAATTAAATATAATAAAAATAATATAAATATAATTAATATTTTAATTGTATTTAATTATATGTGTATCTGTACATATAAATATGTCTTATACCTGTGTATATATATATATGTGTATATATATATATATATATATGCGCACAGGTATAGGACATATTTTTTAACGTGTCAATATACAATATATGTCACTTTAAATATATTAATATAAGTTTTCATTTTGGTACTCACCCTAAGAAATGCATCTAAGGCCCCATTCTCCATGTATTCTATTACAATCATGACTGGTTTCCCTGAAAGAAAAGAAGACAGATATTTGAGAACAGCAAAAACAAATGGAGTGCCTTTTTTTGATAAAACAAATGCTATTCCTTTGAAGGACTGAATCATCCAGACACTGAACATTTCTGAGCCCTCCAGCACTGTTACAGAGCTCTAATTTCTTAAATATCTGCATGGAAAGTGGTCATGATTCATAAAATCGAACCATACAAATCCAAAAGTCAGTGTGTTCTCCGAACTCCTGCTGTGTGAACAGGACTCTGGAATAATGACACTTCAGATTATAGGAAAAGACATGAGAAACCTTATCTCTCTGCATGGTCTTTGAGGCCAAATGAAACTAGAAAAATAATATGTTTCAAAGTACTTCATCTTTTAATCATGCGTGCATCTAAATTTTTTTCCTCAGGTTGTAGCATAAAGTAAGTATTGTTTTAGTTAGTTACGCATCAGGAGAAAATCCATTAGGAGTGTGCAGTCTGTTTATAATTTGAATATTTGACCATGAATAAGGCAGAGCAATTTCTGCCATCGTGTTGTTATTTGACTGACAGACTGAGCTGCTGCTTACCTCTGGTAACAACTCCTTCCAGGTGAACCACATTGGGATGGTCAAACTGCCCCATGATGCTTGCTTCACACAGAAAATCTCTCCTCTGCTTTTCAGTGTAGCCAACTTTCAGAGTTTTTATGGCTACTGCAACGTCTCTCTTGCCAGGAAGCTTTAGACGCCCACTGCACACTTCACCAAACTCTCCTAAAATGAAGTAGATCAATGCTGAATTACTCTAAATACCAGTATTTTTTTTAGGCCTTGATTCAAATAGCCACCTAAGTGTGTGTTTAAATTTAATGTGTTCATATTTGAAATGGATTACTTCGGCATGTGCCTTAAATGAATTGCTGACCCCTACAGAATAAACATTTCAGTTAAGACAACTGACAGGACTATTATTTGAATATTTTAAGAGACTTTTTAATAATTGCTTGCATTTTTTCAAAAACATAAACAATGAAGTGATTTTCATAAGAAAACACTATTATTGAAACAGTGATACCATTCCTAAGTAAAAATGTCTCTCTGCTCTACATGGTTTCCTTGCTATCTTTGGTTTCAATGGACTTTTTTTCTTTCAAAAGGCAGATCTTGCAGAGCTGTTTTTAATTTAGCATCCTTATGGTGTTAAATGAAGCACTACATTATTGCCTTCAAGCAGCATAATTTACTTTACAGATTATGAAATGAAAGGTGTGACTTATAACAATTTTGTTACATTAAACAAACACAAGCAAATACTGCAAGTTTGTTAAAGGCTCTAAACTAACAGACAACTGGAACTTGAATAAGCCTATGATAAAAAAGACCAAACAGCCAGCAAGAACACAAAAAAAAAAAAAAAAAAAAAACCCCAAAAAAAACCCCAACCAAATCTGGAAGAGAAGTAATTGGACTCCATCAGGAGAGAGGATGGAAGCATGTGCGATGTAGAGCTGAGTGGCAATATATCTACCTCACTAAAGAGATTATGAAAGATTTAAGCATTGTTCTTTGTCTCACACCTGTGTCAGCAGAGAACAAAAGTGAGATCTCCAGCTCTGCAGACAGGAAGAAAATTCTCCTTGTATACATAGAAGAAGAGGGTAGTAACAGATGTTACTGAATAAAAGGCGATGTTTCTTTACAAAGAAAGATTAACCACAAAAATATTTAATAATCTGGTACTTCACAAACTTGTCTGATGTTTGAGAGGTATGGTTCCAAGTCCCTCCCCCAAATCAAATCAAGTCAGAAATTTCTCTCCTGCATACCTGTGGAGTGTCTTAACATTTAAGCTGTTACGTATACACAGGTATGAAGACACACGCATCTACACACACATCTAAGACATGTTTTAGAATGAGTGCTGAAAAAAATGATTGAACTAGACCTACATAAAGAATTTTATTAGAGAATCCTTTTGTGAGAAACTTTGTGAGATCAGGACTGAAGTGGACATGCACACTTGGCAAGGTGTCTGGCTGTCAGTGGAGAGAAGTATGCTCACAGTTGGGCTGAATGCCTGAAGAGACAGATGTTGAAGTGTTTTAATGGATGGGCTGCAAAAAATCTTGCTTATGTCACCATCACTATTTGAACACTTATGTTCACCTATCAGTCCTAAATCAAGCTTTGGGAAAGAAAAAAGCAGTACCTGGGTCTTGACTTCACAGTTCATCCAGAAGGGTAGAACTTTGACCATGCCTTTGACCATTTTTAACTGACTAGTCTGAGCAAGCCTCCACTCAGCATGGCTTTTTTCACAACCCTTGTAAGAGATGACTGCGTATAGAATCAAATTCCTGTCCCTCACATTCTATGCTAGCTGACCCAAGGCTAGCTCAGATGAATTCCATATACCTTGTGCTGTATCTAAGCTAACTGACCACGCAAGTGTTCCTGCCTGAATATTATCCTCAACCATCCTTGGGCACTGAATTAAGAATGCCATGAGGTATAGCTGTTACATACACAACAACTAGCTGCTCATGCCCCTAAACTGGTGCCTTAACCTCCCTCTTGCACTTCATTAGCAATGTGGATAGCTATTAATGAATTCACCACTCACCTCACTCACAGCTCCTAGCTGCAAGAACTTCCTAAAGGATAACAATTTTCTCCAGCAGTACTTTCCAAAATTGTTTCCTTCCATGTTGAAAGCAAAATGTGAGTATAGGAGTGTGTCTGTGTGTCTGTGATGTTTCAGAGCCAGGTAATTAGGATACTTGGCACGGGAGACACTAAGGCTTTACTCCTTTCCAGCTCTCTGTGATCTAATTTTGATTGATTTCCAAAGGCAGATCACACACACTTGGGCAAACCAGAAACTTCAACTTGCATGTTATGCACTTCAGGCCAGGATGCTAGCCAATGAACTACTTTTATTCCCAAGAAAATAGTACATTCAGCTGAAATGATGCCCAAAATTAAACTGGAAAATATGACAACAAGAGAGGGAATACTGCACAGCCACACAGCCACTAGCTCAGCATGTAAACAAAGCAGAGGCTAAAACAAAGGATGTGTAGTATGAACAACTTAACATAGTGGACACCATCTTCGGCTTCTGACAGGTGGCCACAGTGGGATGGTAATGAAAATGTTGGCAAGGAAAGCACATATCCCTCATGTAAATTGAGTACAAGCATCCTTGCACCCTGTTTGTGTCTGAGAGACATGGCACTACTCAATAGTTGATGTGGCCAGCATTGCTGATACATATTGAGATTGCTAAATGGCTTTTCTGTTGCTGCCACTAGCAGAAATTCCATATTCTTTTTTGATGTATGAGTTTCAACTGCTGCTTTGGGTCTGTTTGCTTCTGTTGTTCCTGGACTACATATCATTTCACTCCTGTTTGCTATTTACATCAACAGGTTAAAGCCATAGCTAAACATGATACACAGTATGCTTTCACCACTGCATTCCTGATTCACTGAACTCCTAATTTACTTTCTTCAGACTGACTACTGACACACGTTAGTTGTTTTTGCTATCAATTATACACATTAAAATCAAGAATAAACTCATCTGCAAGTCAAGGAAATTAACACTCTGGAATTTGTCATAACAGTGAAAATTAATTTTAAACTGTATACTCTGCAGCACAAGTGTTTTTCAGCATTTTTCTCAGAAGGCATTAGCAAAATCCAACTGAATATATCTTTGTGCTCTGAACTGTTGCTATGCTGGTAGCTTTTTAACGCAAAGCAAAAGATAAAGCTCAGCAATTTTTCTATGCTAATCTTGCATATTGTGTATCTATTAGAAGAGATGCTGCCATTCTGGCATCACAAAAATTACTAGTTAGCAAGGACTGGATTCTTATGCTCTTACTCATCGAAGGAATAATTTGCTCAGCAGTGTGGTTCATTTCAATGGTACTACTCCTTGATTAAGACATGATTCAACATGACTGAGGTTACTTTAAAAAGGCGTTGTACTTTAAAATTCTAAGTGTAAATATTTTTTTTACAGGTAAAACAACTTATTCTAGAGATATTTCTTCTTCCATTTTTAAATAATACCGCAACATGTAATTTACAGTACCAAACAACGGGGTGATTTTAAAAGAATTCTGATAATACTTATATAAAACAACAGGAAAGCAAAAGAACATTTCCTCCAGGAATCCAAAGTATTTGATATTTTTCTTACTCATGGAAACTTAATTTCACTACATGGAGTAGTGCAATAAAAATGTCACGTATCTTATTAATGCAAACAAATGAAACTGCCTTTTTAGAGTATGAACACCATGGCTTAAGTAGGTGGTAGACAGCTCAAGAGAAAAAAAAGCAATGTAGTGCTGGTGCAATTACAATCAGTCATAAGAAGTTAAACAATAACTTTTTGTATTCATAAAATATCAAAAAGAAAAATGGTAGAAGAAAAAACAGCCTTAGGGAAGATTTTGTTATACAGAAACAAGACCTTCTTACTCTCTATTTGAGATTTTGTGCTGCAGCCAGTTTTCCTTATTCACATGAACAAAGATGCAGAGGTCAAAAAGCCCCCTTACAAAAGGCAAGCAAGCTGAATTTGCACAAATTACTAATGCCTTTACTCTGGCAGTAAATAACAGACAGCACAACTGGCCCACTCCCCCCCAGTTCCAATTTTAATAGCAGATACTTAATTAAAAACCCATAAGTTTTCAATGTCAAGCAATACTTTTAATTTACTCAGTTCTTTTGTTTTTTTCTAGTTGTAGTTGGGCTTTCCCCCTGTTTGTTTTACATTTTAGAAGCAAGTACGGCTTCATTGCTCTTAGCCACTCTGGCAAATTCAAAAAGTTCTTCTATACCTGAGGTATAATTATTTGCCTGTCATTATGATGAATGAGTTTCGATCCCAGCTAAATGGAAGAGTTGAATCAGGAAGCCACGGCAGCCTTACCTGCGCCAATCACACGCTCAATTTTAATACAAGAGGCATCTAGCTCCTTGGCGAATTGATGGACAGCTCTATTTGGGTCCTCGTAGGTTTCAGGGTCAATGTAGGTTTTGGTGCCTGGAAATTTAACTGTAATGATGTAAGAAAGCATGACTGTGATGAAGCAAAAGCATTTATTGTGCAGTCAGCCCAGGAATTTCATTATGCAGAGTGCTCCTTGGAAGAGTGAACCTGTTTCCATGCTACCTGAGCCAGAGCCGCTCTGAGAAGCAACCTTAGTTTTAGGCATCATCTGCAAGCATGCTAACACAAGTATACACAATCCCATCTCTAAAAAATGACTAACATTAGCATCTGCATCTCCTCTTGAACAGAAAGAAATAATAAATATTAAAGAGTACTTAATGGAATAAAATGCAAGGGTTGAGCGGGAGTAAAAGCAAAGTGAGGAAAGGGTATAATGCCAGCAGAGGAGGTGAAAGTTTCTTTTTATGTGTAGGGACATCTTATCCTCATCACCCAGGATGTATAAACAGCATTTCCTTATGTTATCTCTCTCCTCTAGAGGGATTTGAAAGGCTCCTCCACCCCCTTGAATTTGCTTAATCTACTGAATATAATATTGTTTGTAGACTGTGGCAGTAGTCAAAACTATTCACAGCACTCAGAAATTACATCCTCAAGTGTGTTTCTTGCACTATAATATGAACATGAAAAACACCTGTAGCCAAGTTGTAAAGTCACAGGAAGGGAAAGTGGCCTCTGTGGCACAATTATCTCCCCTCTCAAGCACCTAAGTGAATACTATTCAGCAACTTGTTTTTTGCTCTTCTTTCTCCATGCTTAGTACAGCTCAGGCAGCATAGTGCTCTGGCCAGCATGCAGGTTTTTTCCTTAGTTTGCTGATAATTCAGGTAAATTATCTTTTGCTATTCTGGTCAAAGTACAAACTCCTGATAATAGCAGAGCAACCCTGGAAATCTATTAATCAATCAATTTTTCTGAAATAAATTTGTTGACAAGAATTATGTTCTTGAGCTTTAATTAAATCAGTGAATTAAAACTCAATAGGAAAATGCAAAAATGGTCTTTTGTTAATTGATATACTCATAAGCAAGAACAGGATCAAAAGTCAATACAAAACATAAATAATTTTCAGTTGCTTTGTATTCTTTGAATTTAACATGTAATATATTAAATTTGAAACTATACTGAAAAACAGCTTAGTAATAATGTGTATTTATGTTTTAGCTGGTATTAATGACCTAAATCCATAAACCATAAGAAAAATAAAAACAAACCTAGAGAAATTGTTTCAATAATATAATGAAATTACAGGCAGGGAAATGATTTGAAATGTTGCCCAGATGTTGTTATCTGTCACATAATGTATTTAAATGGATGTTCTTTTAGTTGCATTGGAAATTTGAATGCTGACTTTTTAAAAAAAAATGATAAATATTTATTTTTTAAAACCAAAAGAGACTGGACAAAATGAGAATCAAGCAGTAAGTTGACCTCTGGTAGTAGTGCTTTAAAGCAAGGAGATGGAGAAGGAGACATCCTCTTGTGTTTGTGATAAAGGGCCTGGATTGGAAGTAACCTTGTGAATCTCAAGTGGGCCTCTGACGGGTCTTTGTTCAAGCTGTCATAAAACATTTTGACAGGCCAAGGCTACCCTGGCATAGCAACATGAAATAATGCTGGCCTGCATTTGCAGACATTGTTAGATGAAAAAGGGAGGAGGAAACCAAATATAAATCTGAATTGCTTGACTAAACTCGTCCATTGTACTTGTATCTTCAAGTGTAGCACTTGAGGTCAAAGAGAGATGAAGGGAACTGAAATGAAATATATGATGGTCCATTAAATGCTTTAAAAGCTTTAAAATCTACTTTAAAAAAAATGTTTGCTTGTAAGGGTTTTTTTGTTTGTTTGTTTGTTTTGTTTTTGTTCTAAGTAAAGAACAGAAATGTTACTTGCTTGTTGTAAGTTACTTTTTCAAAAATCCAGTCTGGTGCAGAAGAATGTTGTCTAGCTATTACAGAGCAAAAGGCCACCAAACTGGTGTTCACAACTCTGTGACCAAGCTGGTGACCACAGCATTGGGCTCCATCTCACTGTGTACATGGCTATCAAATGGAATTAAATGCTACACCTACAATCAACAGATGAAGAAAAACTAGTTTGGCAATAAGTGACTTTATCTGGTGCAACAATTTAAGAAAGACTCTTTATGCTCAATAATCAGGCTAATTTGCTAGATAACTAGATTTATTGAAAGTAAAATAAGGGAAAGGAACACTTATAAAATGTCACCATTTTTGGATCAATTATCAATATTAAGTAGCAGCTTTCAAATTAGTTAATTTACACTCTTAATGAAATAAAAAAGAAAAAATGTAACCAACAATGGAGATAAGAAATTATTTAGTTAGCATATCCCTTTTGTTTACATACTGACAACCAAGAATACATAGTTCATCTTTTCCTTCAAGGACATAACAAGTATTTTAAAAGTAACAGTAGTAGCTTTTCTGGAGATGTGAAAAGCTTATAATGCGTTATGAGAGGCAAATTTCAAATCCATCTCTCACAGAAGAGTAGCATTTAAGTAAAATGAGATTTTTGACAAATTCTTTAAAATAAGCTGCACTGCAAAGTGCATGATATATAATTCTTATCTCATTATTATTTTCCACTGTTCTGGCACAGTTTATGAATTGATTGACTAAAGCTGCAATGATGTCACTAATCAGCTTGACATTCACTGCATTTAAGCAATTTAGATAGCCACAGACACAAACTTAGGAAATGTGATCAATTTCCAGCTTTTTTTTTCAGGGAAGAAAGGCAAAACAGAACCTTGATCTGATTTTGAGTGGAGCTTTGGCTAGAACTATCCATTTAAAGAGGAATGCATTGAGAAAATGCTTAGAATTTATTACTAGTGGCTACGTAATTTTCCATGTGACATTGCTTTTAGATAATACCTCATGATTTTAACATGCCTAAAACAAACCCTATCGCATTAATAAAAAAAGATGGATTTAAGATACAACTGCAATTACTGATAGACAACAAAGGCTAAATGCAGCATAGCCTGACTAAATAACATGTACAATGTATGGGAGAAGACTGGAAAGACTGGAATTGTTCTGCATCAGAACTTATGTTCATTTTAATTCTGTGATTTTTTCAATTATGGTTGCTCAAAATAATTTTGCAATTTAGTTTAACACACTTCCTGAGTTAATGACTAATTCTAAAACAGATTAAAACATTCCTCTCCCCTTACATTTTCAGTTGTCATTAACCCAAGAAAGATGTGTTTTATTGAGTTTTCCCAGTGTTCTAGTTTAAGTTCAAATGGTAGACGTGATTTAAACAAGAGAGGCTTTAGGTACTATCCTTAGCTAGGCAAGTGATTGTAGATCACATGACAGTAATGAAGTGGCTGACCTTTCTTTTCATATTAAATATTCTATTTTTAAGGACATTATGTTTTGTAAATATTAATGGTGCTACTGTATTTGCAGTAGCAGAACACAGCTTTTGAGCAGAACAGCTTCATTTTAGGGTGATGCAATAACTCACACTTTCTTAATCTGAAGTTTGCCTGAGGTAAAGATGAAAAAATCACTTAGGCAAAAGTTTCTTGAATACTGCACCTCAAAGGGATCATTAAGACAATGTGAAACATGTATTCAGAGCAACCAAAAGAAACCAAAGAATGCAGAATGAAAACAACAGTATATAATAGACATATATAGAAATAAAACCATCTGTGTGAGCAATGTTTACTTTAATCTACATTCTTTTTGTGTAGGTCACATTTTTAGTGTTTAATTTCCCACTTGCTATTTATGCGGTAGTTTTGAATTTCCTATGGCATTATTTTTCATGGAATCTTGGTTTAGTATGGTCTACACTATTGCAACTTTGAATTTTTGAAAGGGGAGAAACAAAGCAAAACACTTACAATGAAAGTAAAGTTCTTCATCCCCTTCTTGATCTGCTTTGCTATAGCCACAATGCCTGAAAAGAAAGGAAAATACCAGTTTTACTAGTAAATAATGATTTACTTATCACATCTAAAGTCCTGACAAAATCAGTTCTACAGGCTGGGATTTTCAGGCACTGAACACCTAACTGCTGTAGGCCCTTTGAAACTTTCACCTATAATTCTATTGACAGCAGAGTTTTAAATAAATCATGAACAGTTGCAATCAAAAGACTTTTGTATCAAATACCAGTCGGGACAGGTCTTGGAGAAAAAATTCTACTTCTGGTGAAAGGCTTGTACAGATAAAACAGAGGATTAAAGAACTTGAAAGTAGAACACTGTTTTACATGAGGTTATTCTTAAACTTACTGCTGTGTCTCTTTTTTTTTTAATGTAAAGTCATTTAAAGGCTGATCAGATAAAGTGTCAGACTTCTCCATGTGAGAAAACTGAACAGAAAGAGAGACTTTGAGGAGCAGAGGTAAAGAACCTGCTAGGGGTTCCTTTTACAGCACATTTACGTAGGACAAAAAGAACATCTTGATACAAATATCTTGCCAAAGTAAGAGGACAAACCATATAATTGATAACAAGATTTAAATGAAAACTGTCCTTATTAAGAATTATTTCTGTTTCAGTTTTGTAAATTACTATCCCGGGTTCGACTTTGTCTCAGGAGTTCACAAGAGTGGTGCCAGATGTGCTTAAGCCTATCAAAGATGCAATACCTTCGTCCGATGATGAATCCAAACACCATGAAGACCAGGATGATAGTTCCTGCCACAGCAACCACAGCTATGATAATAACAGGATTCTGTTCACTGGAAACAGCTGTGGCTACAAACAGAGCACAGGGTTGAGATTAGTTAAAAATTAATCCCTACTAAGAGACTTCAAAAATTTAAGTCAATCATCATGAATTGTAGACTGTCTACTGTAGTAGACTGCCTTTGTCTGAAACATTTACATTGATAAAGTTAGATTAAATAAGGGCCTCCATTGGAAATGCAACTAAATGCTGTATAAGTTAATGATTGTCTACATTGAATAAAAAGAAGCCAAGCTGGAATTTCCATGGCCAAAGTGGTACAGCCATTACCTGAAAGCCAGCACTACTAGCATCTGTCACTTCCACTCCTGACTACTGCTTTGCTGCATTTGTTTTGACTCCCTCCTAAAAGAGGAGTACTGGATATCCCTAAAAGGAGGGACAGTAGGAGAGTAATCCCTAACTCTGCTTCTAGCCTCCGCTCTAAAACTCATTGATATGACTTTGAAGGCTTCCAAGAAAATAGTGTCTTTAAGAAAAATGTTTGTGCTGAAGCGCTATTAACACAGATTTCCTAGGTAGCATATTTCAATCTCTTACTGCAATTAATCATTGTAAATAGCTATTATTACTTACCATTTGTTTCTGTTAGCAACAAAAAGGTGCTTCCACATTAATACAAAATAGAATTCTCCATGCTTCAGAGAATTTACATGCTAAAATATCCCCACATTATTGCTCTTTTTATTCAGATATGCCAATTCTATTAATATATGTAAATGTATACATGTCACATTAATGTAAACTGAGGACGTAATACTTAGCCTGAGAAACCTTGAAGCTTGTTAAAAACATTGCTTGCCTGACATCTAATAAGGGTGTCCATGTACTCTCATACATTAAGTAACCACAGCTCTCCTGAACTCTGGAGATGCACTGGTTTGTAACAGTGAGTGAGGATCTGAACCAGAAGATGAATAGAGGATGAGACATGAGGGACTGTGTGAGAGTCAGCTGGAATCATAGAATCACAAAATCATAGAATAATTTAGGTTATAAAAGTCTTCCAAGATCATCAAGTCCAACCTTTGACCAAATATCACCATATCAAACCACATGCAGTAAATGCTGCATGTGGCACTTGGGTGGCTCATTCCAATGACTAAATACCTGTTTAGTAACAAAATTCTCCCTGATATCCCCTGGTGTATCTTAAGGCTCTGTCTTCTTGTCCTTGGGAAGAGACTGACCCCTACCTTACAACAAGCTCCATTCAGGTATTTTTAGAGAGTGGCTCCTCCCTGAGCCTCCATTTCTCCAGGCTAAACAACCCCAGCTCCCTCAGTTTCTCCTCATCAGACTTGTGCTGCTATTGCAAATTCTGTTCCCTTCTCTGGACATGCTCCAGCAACTCAATGTCCTTTCCAAAGTGAAAGGCCCAGAAGCGGATACAAGACTCATGGTGTGGCCTCACCAGTGTCAAATACAGAGCGATGATCACTATCCTAATCCCACTGGTCACACTATTCCTGAAACAAGCCAGCATGCCATTGGCCTTCTTGGTCACCTGGGCACACACTGGTTCATGTTCAGCCAGCTGTTGATCAGCATCCCCAGGTCCTTTTACACTAGGCCACTTTTCAGGTACTCCTCCCCTGACCTGTAGTGTTGCATGATGTTGTGATGACCCAAGTGCAGAACTCAACATCCTTATATGCTTCCTGGGTTGTCTGCCCCCTTCTTCCAAAGGTCATAAACTTTTTTTCCCTGAATTCCAGTGAAAGCTCCCTATTCAGCCATTCCAGTTTTCTTCCCCACTGGCTCACCTTTCAGCACACAGGGATGGCCTGTTTCTGTGCCTAAAGGATTTCCTTCATCTCCTCCTGTTTGTTACCCATACTGTGTGCATTGGTGTAGATACACTTCAGTTGGGTTGATTTCACCCCCAACATTGGCATGCCACTCCTGGACTCTCCTCTAGCAAGCCTGGTCTTACCCCTTTCCCCTTTCAAACCTAGTTTAAAGTCCTATCAGCCCTTCAAATTCATGGGATTTAAATAATCCCATGAATAATTTTCCCCTTTAAGATAGGTGAACCCCATCTGTCTCCAGCAGGCCGGGCCATATAAACTGTCCCACGACTTGAAATGCAGCCAACAGATGAAAGAGGAAGAGGAAAAAAAGGAAACCAAACTGATAGCTGATTAACTAAATTAATGATATGCTAATATGGTTTACTGCTGGTACTGGTAAATGAACTAGAATGTCTACACTAGGATTTATGAACTCCACAAAATTGGACTTGTGTTACAGACTTCAAAGGTTCCCATAGAAACAAATAGCTCAGAATTTTCTTGGAAGGAGTAAGCCAATCAACATGATTTATTTTTTCCCTTACACTGACCTGTACCAACTGTTTCCCCCCAAAATAACAAACCCCTTGTTATACTACACAGATTTAGAATACTCTGCACTGGAGGGAAATTGCACACACATCATACACACACCCCTCTGGTTTTATTTCCTGAAGAAACTTGTAATTTTTCTATATTCTCTCTAATGCACATGAAAAAGACCACACTATTCCTATAACTCTTTAACTAAAAAACAATGCTTATCATTAAGTAACTATAACTTTCTGAGATACAAAGTCAGTAGGATGCTACTGTAGATCTGCCTGTATTCCACTCATGCAGCTTTTAAGAAAAAGCAGTGACTGTCTTGTGCAAGAGACTAGGAGCAAAAGTCATAGAACTCAGTTTCTGCAACTTATCTAGGCCATCAAAACAGACAATCTCAAGGAATGTAAAATTTCCATAAAATACAGCATTTCTTTAAACTGTTCCCATCTCTCTTTGAACTTCACTGCAAACCTCACTTGGAAGTGAAGAAGAGGCAGCTGTCATAATGGCCAGGGTGTGAAGCTTCATCCATCCAAAAGAATTTGGAAAAATCCCCAGACCTGCCTGTCACCTAGTCCAGTAGCCAAGATAAGTGCATAGAGGCTGACATATGTGAGTGGGTTGCTCTATGTAAGTGCCTCACAGATTTTAGGTACTTGCACATTCTGGAAGCAAGCAGATGATGTTTTTTGGGCTCTGGAAAATGTTGGGGACATGGTACACTGGCCAACTGCTAAGACAGGTGGGATGCAATGCAAGATTTATTTTTATATGTTAAAAAAAAAGAGAGGAGGGGGCTGATTGTGGGCATGGTTTGGTATAAAGTCAGTGACAGTAGTGTAAGACATCTGCCTCTGTTCAGGTACTCTGCTGCTTCCCCTGTGTGATGAACTCAGTCTGCTGGTGTAAGGGGGAATCAGAACACAGCTTCTGGAATGATCCCTGTGGTTTGGCAGAAACAAAGATGCTAGAGTGTTCTTAGAGGAATAGTTTTGGGATGCAGAAGGTCTTTTCAGAGGGTGCATGCATGGCTACCAGTCACAGGTGATGCCACAACAACAATGACAGGGAATCAGCACCAGGACAGGAAAGTTCTTACCTCTGCTTAAGCTGTGCTCAAAGGTTGACACAGGGAGCTGGCACTTGGGCATTCAGCTACAGCTGACACCTGATCTGAGCTATGAGATGTACACATCCAATGCACAATGCTTAATTTAAAGAAGTTAAATTTAAACCAGCTTATAAATACATGGTTGTAGGGATGGGGAATGCATATCTAAACACCCTGGAGGATTTTAAAAAAGTTATCAGCTTAAAATGCTGTGTTAATGCTCCATCAACCATTTCTCAGGCAAGCAACTTCAGATGCACAATTTCTGGAAAGGAAAAGAATTCTTGGTGAAGTTCACCATGAAAGCTTCAATGATAACTGGATCCATTTATGCCAAATACTACTTTCTTAAGTATTTCTTAAGTATGTGCTTTATGCCTTCTATAAAAATGTGTAGTATTGTTATTTCAGACTTTGGAGATAAATTTTAGGTATGACCAATGCTTCAATCATCTTTGATTTACTCAGATTCATGGAAAAAGGAAAAATACTAAATTCCAGGTTTTCTCAAGTGCTTCTACCTTAACAGTAAGAGCTGTAAAGAAGTCAAAGATTGGACTTGATGACCTCAGAGGCCTTTTCCAACCTAATTGATTCTGTGATTCTGTAAGTGAAAAGATCTGCTTCCATTACAAAAAGCAGAGGATTGTCTTTAGGTCCACTGGCTACAAACCACTTACCTTGACTTTTAAATACGTCAGTGAACCAAGAGACAGAATTGACACTTGAGTGATATTTTATGCATTTGAGTGTTTTTCCAGAGGGACTTCTGTTTCTAATAACCAGCCAGGATGACTAGGACCATTGATTGATCTGTGGCACTAGTAGAATAGAAATGGTCTCCCTTTATAAAGCATGTTTACCTCATAGTTTTGAAATTTTTCCATAAATATCTATGCAATACCCAACATGTATTATATGATCTAATGCAGGTATAATATATGTATATTTTACATATTAGATAGTATTAATATAATGGATACAGTTCCTCAAATATTGAAAAGTGGCTATACAGTTTCTATCACAATTCAGAAAACAGCACACTATTCAAAAATCTACTTAATTAACAACACCAACCAAACAGTGCCAACCATAGGAAGTACCAGGACAAATCCATGTAGGCAACATGACTAACTGAATGTGGTGGTCATTATATATATTCTTACACAAATATATACATGTGTATTTTTTTCTTAAACTACTTTGGCATTTTTAAAAGCTGAATTCAGAAATCCACTGGAATTATGAGAAGAAGCCAAAACCTCTAAACTGTAGCATAACACGATTTAGTGTTCACCTGCATGGTATGTCCCTTGAGGTATATTTCCCAAAACCAATCCAATAAAGGTCTTCCTTTCAAATGCTAACAATAGACAAATTTGATGATCCTGTAAATTCTGATAAAATTATAACTAAAATATAAGAAACTAATACTTTAATATAAAACAATTTTAGAAGAGTTTAATGGAATTTGCTATCTTTTTACCAACATTTTAATTACTTCTGAAAACCCTATATGGGAAATTTTGGATGCTTATTCTTGCTGGGAATTCTATTTTCTAATGTTGTCTCAAGATAATGGATTTTCTTTAATGAAAACACAGGACATTTTTCATGGCATCTGAAAGCATACAACTGGCCTGTGAAAAAAGAAACCTGCTGTGCATCCTGGCCAAGAGTCTCTGTGGTTTATATGCATGTTTTCATCATCTGAGTCAGAAAAGGAGTACAGGAGAGTGGTCAGTGATGCATTTATTATAGGATTTTCTAATCTCCCATATGTTGATCAAACTCCAGTCAAAACTATTTATCTTTGAAATCACCTTTGCTAATCTTAGCAGCTACCAGTCTGCTTACATTCAGTATGTAAAAAATACTCTGATAATTAGAGAAATGTTGGGGAAATATTTTGATGTAATAATTTTAAACCACTATGGACAATAAATTATCTAATTAGCAGGAACTTATTATGACAGACTTCTAATTTGTTTTCCAGAAAACTATTTAAAATAAGAAATTACTTCTGGATGTACCTAAGGTTCCCATTCTGCAAAATGGGGATTCTGCTACTGACTTTTTCTGCAGATGGGAAGTATGCTATTAGACACAGAGCTAATAATATTAGTAATAACAGCTCACTGCTGTTATTATGATAATTACTGTTTCAATTATGTCTATTAGATATGTGGTATTAGTCATTATTTATAGTTTTTATATTCTGTGTGGAACTAAGGTGGAATCAAGACCTAACTAACGTATATTAACAATAACCACAAGTTGTTCAGGTGACACCTGGCTGCAATTAATAGGACGCAATAATGTGTGTCTGCACATACCCCTTGAATTCACTGGCTATGTATTCCTGTATTTCCAGCTCCCAGTCTAACTGACTTGTCAAGGTCAACGTGAAGCAAATGCTCTAAACCAGGGAAACAAGATTTGGGTCTGCAACAGGGTGGTGGAGCTGCCAGGGACACAGTCCCTGTGAAGGGGATCAGGGCTCCCAGGCCTCACTGATGGAAGAAGTTTTTTGGTTACACATTTTACAACTTATTATACGAGCCTGTAAAGAACTTAGTATCATTAAGATTTCTTTACTGAACTAAATTGCCAATGAATTCAAAATTCACTAAAGATGGAATAACAGCTGAAGACACACATACAAACTAAACTACCAAGTTGTTGGGTTTTTCTTCAGAAAGTCAAATGGGGAAAAAATAGCCTGGAGAAGTCTCTGTGGGTTGAAATCTCCTCCTTTCTTCTCTCCCCAGTTAGAGAACAATCTAGTTGAGTTATTCAGCTCATCACTACTCACTTCTTTTGTGGGGAGAAATAAGAGTGTATCTGAATTTAAAAAAAAAAAAAACAATCTTCATGTATTAGAAGGAGAGCAAAGAAGAAGAACCTAATATGTAACAAATCTCCTCCAGCAAACTGAAAGACTAATTTTCTCTTCTATGGTAAAATAAATTATGGAAGCTCATCCTTCAAAAGACAATGACAAAAAGTCACCTTCATGTTAAAACAAATTCTTTGTCATTGTAATTATGTTGTTTAAGACACTTTCCTTTCTTGCTTTACTTACTACCTCTACAGAAAGGGTTAATTTCCTGCAAACCTAATTCCTTACCTGTGGCTTCTTCCAGTGTGGCAACATCCAGTCTGGGGCTGTAATTTCCATAACCAGCAGCAGTAAAAGCACGAATCTGGAAAACATACACTGTTCCTGGCTTTAGGTTATTAATAGAAGCTGAAGTGGACTTGGTTTTCACTGTTGAATATGTCCTCTCCCTTTGATCCTGGAAACAGAAAGACAATTAAATGACATTTACAGATTGGATTTTATCATGATTGCACAACAGCAACTGACAGCCAGCCTGGGTAGTTTACTTCTATTTGCTGAATGCTCTTTTCCCCCAACAACAAAAATAAAGCATACTCTGTGGAGTATTACAAAACATTGTCAATGCAACAAAGAGCTCTAAGTGTAACAAACAATTCAAATGTGATGCTCATGTTGTTACTCAGAAAACATCAAAAAAAAAAAAAGAAAAAAGATTGCTCTTTTTGGCTCTGATTAAATTTTGCTTAATTTTGATGAGAAATAACTCAACCACAGCTTTCCAGAGGAATCTGTGATGTCTAAACAGTTCAAGAAATTTTTTCTTTCATGGTCAGAACATCACAAAGATAGGGCTGCAAAACCTGCCTTCATTCTGCATTAATTCAGTTTATCATTACTTTGACATCATACCCATCTATTATTTCTGAAAAAAATAGAATATCATCAGTTTATAATTGGATTTTGCATAATTTCTGAGGTCCTTAACTCAGTTTTCATTCAGATATTTATCTCTGGTTTTTAGCCTTTTTTCAGTTTTAGACTCTAAGGAATAAAGAAGAACCTAAGGAAAGAAGCTCAGTATGACACTCCACAAATTTGAAGCTGTAAGATTACAAACCCTGTGAGTAATAACTCACTTTCAAATAGTACAAAAGCTGTATCACAGATCATTAGAGTATTCAAAAAGCTATACTTATTCATCACATTTAGTGACACAGATTATATTTCAGCATAGATATGTGAAGCCCTGTTGATTTTTGGTGGCAGATGCAACCCTGATTTGAAGGGCAGAAGAGATGAATTAACCAACCATCTGAACGCACCACATGACCAGACAAGCATGAGCCGAACGCAGCAGTGCTAATGAGATGGATACAGAGGGAAGAAATAAATCTGTAACTCATTTCAATAATATTTCACCAGATAAAAGTGATGGAGAGCCTTCCCTGTCACAGTCAGTAAAGGAACAAAGGCTTTTGCTGAAATACTATACAGAACATACAGGGCTATACAGAACATAAATGATTTCTTTTCTCAGATTCAGTAAGGGCTTCTCCTGGTCCTTACCCAGTCTGTGACTTGAGCAAGCCTACAGTTTTAGCTAGCAACAATTTTCCATATCTTCTCCAAGAGAGTTTAAATCATCAGGAAGTGAGGACCACAGCAGAATGTATATTGGCATGTGAGACAGAACAGGAATGTTTCGAGAAATGAGACACAAGTGTAAGAAAACCATAAACAGGTTCAGGACTGTAAGCCACAGTCGAATTTCAGTTTGGGTTTTGATGCATAAACGAGGCTTATTTGAATTGCCAACAGTTCTTGTATTCAAAAACAAATAACAAAAAAAAAAAAAAAAAAAAAAAAAAAAAAAAAAAAAAAAAAAAAAAAAAAAAAAAAAAAAAAAAAAAAAAAATCCTGTGCTAGAAATCTCACAGGAAAGGCTTACTTTGGAGATTTCAAGCTGCTTCCATTCCAGCCCTAGCCAGAAGTGAGAGGTGAAAAAAACACTTATCACAGTATTTCAGAATGACAAAAAATGTTTGATTTAATTTGGGTCTAAAAGGAGCCAAAAGTTCAAATCCTTTTATTTTGCTTTTCTTTTCAACTAGTGAAACACAACTTAAACAGACTCTCACTCTGAGAAGAAGAAGAAGAAGAAGACTGTGAATTAATTTTAAAGCTGAAATGCAATTTTTTGGAAGGAAAAGAAATAATTTCAGTATTTGTGCAAAAATTACTTCAGTTAAAGTTACATAGTCCAGTTTATCTGTGACTGTTAGAAAGAGCTTTTTATTCTCTTATTAATTTCACTGTACTAAGTATAATACTGGAAGATGTCCTTCCATTTAAAAAAAAACTTTAACATCAGTTTTTTCCCTTTGGAAACACAGGGAAAACTGGCAATGAAATTCTGCTAGTTATTTAAAATTAGTATATAGGGAAAACAATAAAAGCCACATTCTAAAAGCTATCATTATATAAAAAGCTGGGTATCTTGGCAATTTTTCTGTCATTTTACATTACCCATTTAAATTATTTATTTTATTTGAACAGATTAGAAACTGCTCTGCACATTAAAGAAATGAAAGGTTCTCAAATTTTTTTTTTTTTTTTTTTGGTTCAGAGGACAGTTTTGCCCTTGATAAATGTGTAACATTTTTAAAATACTTGGACTTTATTTGCATGTGTATGTACACACACATGCTTGAGGAACAAAAATCATCTGCTAAAATTAGTAAAATTTCTTCCAAAGAATTATTTAGCTATCTGTACATATCTGTTAGATTTTGTTATAAAAATCATTAGAATGAAGAACTTAAACTGGAAGTTGGCCTTAACAATTTTCTTTTCCTTTCCCAAATCATATAAAAATATTTTGATAAGTATATTTGTGTAATTCAGCACTGAAAATGAAATATGACACTTGATATTGCATCCAATCTGGGCTGAATTTACCTAATTCTGTGTTACATAGTAAGCTGACATGCTCTTTTTGATATAGGGTACTGTTACCCTGCCTGCAGAAATGTCTTCACGAGTGTCCATAAAGAAGCCCCTTTATAAATTTTTTTTTCATTTTAATTAATTTTAATTTTTTCACAGAATGTTTTATAAAGATTAGGAGTATATTATGTTATGCAGACAATTTCCCAAGGAATCTGGAGAAGCCAAACTTAGTCTGGGTCCCATGACAAACATAGAACTGCACAACCTGCCTTCACTCTGCTTTCATCCAGTTTACGGTTGTCAGAATTTTTTTATTCTGCAGTACTTCAAAGTTATCATGAATGAAACCCTAGACATGCTGAAATGAATGGCAAAACTCCGACTGACATCAGTAAGATTGCAATTTCACTCTACTAGAAACAGAGATCACTTCATCTACTACTGAAAAGCAGCCTTCAATTCATTATTGCATTGAGAGAACAAGTGAAACATAAATTTCACAGTCCTGGTCCTTTTAAAAAGGAAAAATACGAAATATTTATTTCCCAAAAGCCTAGGAAGTGTTTTGAAAATTTTCAGACATCAAGTAGAAGCTGCCCAGCTCATAAGGAAATACAAAATGCAGTAGGGAGTTGTACTTGATACATCATTTCAAAACTAGAATTACATTGGTACAGAAGGAAATGAAAAAAGCTCCAAACACAATGTATAATAGATGTAATTTAAGGGTATGGAATTTAAGGGTAAAAAATTAGATGGAATTTAAGGGTAAAAAATATCCAAGTACAATTTAACAATTAAAAAAAAAAAAAAGGAACGAAAGACAGATTTCAACTGTATATTTCATTTTTAGTGTGCCAAAATACAGTATTTGAGATGTATGATAACAATAATAATGGCAGAATTTAGCTAGTTATTAAAAGTGAGCAAAATCACTGACTTTGGAGAGACGAGATAGTTGATAGCTGATGATTTTAACACTGTTCCACAATGCAGCAAGCCAACATAAAGCAAACAACACATTGTTGCACATTACAGATAATCTTAGCACTTACTTTCTCATAATATTTGATTTCATATTCAGTAATGACTCCATTGGGATGTTCTGGTTCCTGCCAGGAAAGCTCCACGCTCCTCTGCAGCACTCTTTCTTTCATTACGCCACTAACTTGCGAGGGAGCTGTTTGGACAAGATGTGTCAATAAATAAAAAGCAAATTTGTTGGATGGCTAAAAACAAATGTCATTACTGATCCACCTCATGCTGAGAAACTTTCATTAAGGTAAAAGAAAGCACCTTTTCATAGCTCGCAATTCAAAGCTAATGAATATTCTAGCAGATCCCTATTACTGTTCATAAACTTAGAACAGAAATCAAACTACAGTGCAAACAGCAAAAGGTATCATTGTTCGAGTTAGTGCAAAACTGAGATTGATGGGATAGGAAAAACAATTAAGGAAATTAATTCTGATGATGATAGCAAATCAAATTTTCAGACTGATGTGTAGTAAATTAAGAGTCTAAATATTTATTGCATATGTTTCTGAAATGCACATAAAAGAGAAATAATATTTTAGAAGTAAAATCACATTTTAGGCTGTTTTGATATGACTAATTCCAGTTCTGCTTAGAAATAATCTCTCACATTATCTGATTACAATACGACGGTGATGAAAATGATTTTGTTAAGAGACTAAGCCCACTCTTTTTCATTAGTTCTAACCTCTCCAGGACATTTTCTCTTTAGAGCTAAGTTTCTGTATTTTGTCTTAGCATTTTTGAAAGTGCAAGACAGTTTAAGGAGTAGATCTCATGGAAAGAAGGTGACACTGTCTTCCTCTGCCTCACTCTAGGGAGATATAAATAAATGCACACTTCATGCATGCACATGTACATACACTGAGTTTCCTAATAAATATCGCCCACAAACAAGCACCTTTTGAAATTAAAAAACCCCAAACCCAATATAAAAGCATTATAAAGACATTGACTCTTATATAAAAATGTTTTAAGAGAAAATGTAATAAACTGTGAGATACTGAAAAAATAATTCACTTTCTCAACTTATTTTTAATGAGAAAGACAGCAGATATTTTTCTGATGTGCAGCATCAAAGGATGCCAAACATCACAGTCTTCCTCAAATATACACACTGAATTTAGAACAGAAGTCCTGTAAAACTATAGCACTTTGAAAAAACAACTATGGTATTGGAACCATGCAGAACTTGATCTTGTTCTCATTCAGTTTAATGGAAATCAATTTTGCTCATGCAAAAGATAAAGAAAGAGAGGACCTGACCCTCAGCCCCCTACAGTTAAAAGCTAAATGCCATTTACATGGATAAGAACTTGGTCTTGGAGCAGACTCAGACACAGGAAAGGTGTCTGAGATAAATTTATTAGAAATAATATACTAGAGATAATACTAAAGATATTAGAGATAAATTTATATATTTTTCTAACACAGAATCTAATACTGATTTTATTTTGAAATGTTTGCTTAAAAAACCTGAAAAATTTAAATCTTTTAAACCACCACTTTATTTCAGAACTGTATATAAAGCTTTCATTATGTAAAATTATACAGTCTTCAGATAAAATTCTTATCCCAAGCAACAAGGTGATCTTCATTTTCTCTAGTTTTCTAAAATAACACAAAACATCTATAATGCACACTCCTGTATAATTAAGTATATAACTATAATGATAAAATTATTATTATATATTATAAATTATTATATATTATAATTATAAAATTCTTATATATTATAAAATACCTAAAGCCCAATAAAGAAAATAATCCTCTGAAAAATTAAATTGAATTATTAACTTCTTACTGCAATTTTGAAGTTTCTAAGATTTTTTAAAAATTATAACCTGTATGTTCAGGGAGATTGCATTTCATTGGAGGCTCCAAGAATACATGAAAATTAGAGTTTGAAGCCATGCATTATAATCTTCATTATGAACTATTATGCTGCATATAATCAATATAATCAAAGTTGAATATCTCTTACATTAGGCTGCCTAAATGATAAAATCAGAAAATTGTATCAGACCAACAACATAGGTTGCTGCAAAAAGCCAGGATCAGTCTCACTCTCCTTGCATTCTCTTTCTAAAAGCTGAGAGTATTTTCACTCTTTAATTAGTGAAATATATTCTTTTGCATAGCTAGGACTCCAGAACGCAGCAAACTAATTTACTGTCTAGTTTTCTTTGACATGATTAACTAGTTGTCTTCTTTGCCTAAATAAGTACCTCTGCATCCTGAATGAATTTCAGAGAGGTCATTATGTTTCATGTGTAACTTTCTATCTCATCCAGATAAATGTATCTCAAATTGCTAATCTTACGTTTTTAGATGTCTGAAATTGATGTTGGTACTTATCATTGAACGATTTTATATTACCTAGGTCACTGGAATTTGTTTTCCATGTTTCCTGCTTTTTGTTTTTGCTTATCAAATTTTTTCATTCCGTTGGCCACAGCATTCATTTTTCTTAAAGCAGTGAAGCAAAATAAAGTTGATATTAGTTAACTCTGTGTATGTGGGAAAGGAACTGGAATGTGAAGGAGGAGGGACTGAGAGAGGGGAAAGATTTACATTGAGGAAATGAAATACACTGTGCAACATTCCTGCTTAACACCTGTACAAAGTACATAAAAAACAGGCATATTCCATTCTTAAAGAATTTCCATTCAAACTAAAATCCTGGTGATTTATCAACATTGCAAGATTATCAACATTGCAATTAAATTTGGTTTGGTTTGGGGTTTGTGTGTAGGATTTTTGGCAATTTGTTTTTGCTTTGGGCTTTTTGCAACCAAAACTAAAAAAAAGTTATGCTACCTTTCACTGTTAGAAGAACCACATGAGGAAGAAGAGAAAGTCCAAACCTACAGTTCAACCTTGAATATGTTAGCAGCTCTGAAGACAAATATGTTGCATATAATTCCCATATCACATGAGATTCCTAAAATGTAGCATGCTATCTAACCTTATTTTGAGTCCCATCCTTTTCAGGGGAAGAAGGGAATAATTAAATTGACAGTTTGCCTTCACTGCATAGAAATCTCTTCAAACTAGATCAGCCACATAAGCCAATCCATTGAGAGGGCAAGTATCCTGCCTTTTGGGCTGCATTTCTTGATCTCTGCTTAATGAGAGTATACAGGTCAGAAGCATTTTGTTCTTCATTCTAGTATAATAATTTCCTCTGTATTCTCTCTGTGCCTTTCTTACAGATGGTTTTACATTAATGTTTTATTTTTTATGGCTTCCTGACACATCCTTTTAAACCTTTAGCCAACTTCTCATTGCCTAGCTATGCTAATCAATTAACAACTTTTTATGGTTTTGAAACAACTATATTTGAGCAAGCTTGAAAATTAGTTAAAGAATACAATGCCTCCTTAAATACAAGATAAATTAGGGAATTAAATTAAAAAAAAACAAACAAGCATAAAACGAACTCCATAACAGGATTAAAAATAACATATTTGTTCCCATTTCTAGCTAAACAATAATGATAAGAACAATAATAATAAACTACTTCAGGGCGTTTTTCTTCTAGTAATCTACTTCTTGCCACTGCATCTCTAACCAAGTCTTTCATGGCAAAGACACTTCTTACAGCACTTCTAGACAACTATACACCCAGTCCTGAATGACTTGAGCATGCATAATCCCTACTGTATCACTGCAGGTTACAAAGAAGCATCACTTGACAGAATCATTATTTCCATAATATATTACACAGGGGGATACACACTGTTCAAAACACCATTTGCTATCAACTTTCTTTCTGATATACCTCATCTCTTCTTTTTCTCCTTCCTGCTGACACAACATCCAATGCATCAAACACACACAGCCTCTCAGGGCTAACAGGCAGATGTACCTACACACGCAGCATAAGAAAGTACTTGGAGAATGATAGGCCCTCAGCACTCTCATTCACCTTTTTTAAATGCTTCAAATATACCATTCAGCAAAAGAAAAAATTGATTTTCCCCAGGTTTCAACATCACAGCCACTGAGAAATATAACTGTGCTGGGTTTTACTGATAAAGCCTTCAAGTTATATAGATTTCAAGCTGGTCATCATTTTCAGATCAAATTATAGAAAAAGTTAAAACTGAGGTGACAAAAAGAGCAGGATATTCCAAGGATATATTCTCTTCCAGAGAGAATATTGCATCTGGTAGACTGATGTGTTCCATCCATACTGTTAAGCCAAGCATATAGTACATTATTAATATGTACAAATATTAAGAGATAGAAAACTGTAGCAATTGGTTTGGAAATTGCTACTTTTAGTCCAGAGTAATTTGAAAATGTTATAATATAATACTGCTCATGCCTTTAATTCCTATCCATAGCTATTCTCTGTTAATGTTAAGACTAACATTTTCCTTGATCCATAGTGTGCTTTCCAGAAGGTAAAGACAGGCGTATCTGAACATATCACGACCAAAAAAAAAAAAAACAAAGCAAAATAACAAACTCCCAAACAAACAAAACCAATCAAACAAAAATGCCAAGCAAACAACAACAAAAAAACCCCAACAAAACTGAAAAATTAAAATATGTGAAGCTGGACTTTAATATATACGAGGAATTAGACATAATACATGAATTGCTAGCAGAAAATCAGCTGTAAAAATCTTTTTACTGAAAATAGATAAATCAGCAAAAGGAACATACCTATCAATTTCTCAATTATTTCCTACAGTCCTGAATATTGAATGTGTCTCAATTCCATCAACAGCATCAGTCATGGAGACTTTTAATTTGATACTTTTTAAACAGTGTCTCTAGAAGCAGCATCCTGTGCATTTAGTAGTTCAAGTATACAAAAGAAAATACTTAAAATTCTGAGAAAGAAGGGTTGACAATCCTGCAGTCACACTTCATACAGAAAATTTCATAAATGAACAGGAGTACATGCTCCTTATGCAGGACCAAATCCTATATTAACAAATGCTACCAAATCAATGCTTGCAATTCCAGTTTCATGATGTGTCATACAAATTCTAAAGAATGAATGGGCTACCAGACTTCCTTAAACTTTTTTTTTTTAATGATTCCTTATCTTACAACAGCGATAATGTTCTGAAGTCAATCTGAGCTTCCTCTTGCACCTGTTGAAGTCTAACAAAAACACTGGAACTT